ACTACTGGGATCTGTTGGACGAGACAATGGGTGTCAGTGGCGATGCCATTGAGCTAATGCTGCAACAATGCAAACCTTGTTTGGGTGAAGATTGCGGATCTCCTCGACGTCTTGTTTGCGTTGCGCTTCAAAGCAAAACAAAGCAAACATTAAGACATTTGACATGAAATGGACACCAAATCTCATTCAATTGATCCCAATATTGGATGCAATGAATGATAAGACAAAAGACAACAACAAAACAAAACAATGAGTGAATGCTTTGTACCAAAAGATCGTCTTTGTTTGAACGACTTGTTGGGATTAGCCATCGGTGGTAGTGGTGGTAGTGTTGGTCTTGGAGTGGTGTTTGTGATGATCACTGTTCAGTGCGTTATAGTGAGTGGTATTTGTGTGCAGACAATGACTACAGAAAGTAAACACTGAATCCAATCACAGCTGCAAACAGTCATTCAATACGACGTATGTATCATATGATAGGAGAGTCACTCAACTGTCCCACTGTTGCCTCACTTCCAACACTGGCTGTACTTCTATGACGCCATACATTGGGCACTGAAGTACAGCCTGTCGTTCAGCAGTGCTGTAGTGATAGAGAGCTGTGTTGTTGTGGGGATGCAATGGAGTCTCGATTGGATGTCGTGGTGGCGCCTCCCAGTGGACGACTGAGTGGTGGACCCGTTTAGGCAGTGTATGACTGGCTGTATGTATGACTATATGACTGTATGTATGCCTTCGTGTGAATGCATGCACTCTATGGCAGTGTTTGTGAACAAAGCAGACATTTTGGTGTTGGAAGCGGTCTATAGATTGCATGAATGGATCATCTCTTGAGGTGTTTGTATTGATGAGTGACGCGACACACGACCGGATCCCACCACAAGACAGTCCAATCACTTCTGTATGTGGCGTCGAGTCGAGTGAAATGCTGGAGAAGAAGGGCGTGAGTCCTCTTCAGTGCCAAAGTGGGGGCGCGAGTGGTGTGAGCGGTGGTGGCGGCGGAGGAGCCGCTTCTGGCGCCGCGACAGCCGTCAACGACACGAACAATGGGTTGGAGCCGAAGAGGTGCACCGGTTCCAAGGGGTCGACCAGTGTGTCGTCCAACAGTGCTTCCAGTAGTGGTCCCAACACTCCCAGCGACCCAATGATGGCCCCCTTGACTGCCACACAAGACTTTGTGATAATTAAAAGTGAGGATCAAATGCCTCCTTCTGTGGCCGCAAATCATTGCGATTCCAAAAGTAAACTCAATGTCGAGACACAACTCAGGAGTAATCACATGATTGACACCAAGCCAAACATGAATACATTGAATGCAAGTGTGAATACGTGTGGCAATAGAGACAACGGAGGCATGAAATGCAGAGATAATATCATGTCTTGTGGTGCGAATGGTGTCCTCAACGGACCACTCAATGGTCCCCTCAATGGCATGAATTGTATGGACAATACCTCTCCGCACAACCTCCTCAATGACGGTAACGACCACTCATTCATTCATTGTCTGCTTCATTGCATTCAATTAGAGCCCAAACGGTGGCCAACAGTCACTGACTGTCGGTCACCACTAAACCTATTGACAGTGTGTGCAAAAGCTGAGTGCAAACCCGGTCTGACCACTGAATCCAGCATTTGATAGATTTGTACAATTTCGTCAAACTATACGAGTAGTGGTCTCTGATTATGAGCTGTTGTGCTATCAATGCTATCAATGCTTACAAACAACAGAAAGTGAGAAAAACTTGTATTCGTTTCACTGGTTCTATAGTATTGTCGTTTTGACTGCTTTTCTCAAATCATTTATTTTAAAGTTTACTCAACTTCTACTCCAATCCTATCCAATATTAATACTAATACTCTCCAAACAGCTATCATTATGAGATGAAAGTTACCAATAGTTTCCCATTTATAGTCATTTAGAGCGTCTACTGGTATTTATTTTAATATTCAAATTATTGTAACCAAAAGCAGTGAATATTATTGTTAAAGATATAAAAAATAATTCACTTGTCTTTCATAATGAATGACATTTTGATATTTTGTATGATTTGTA